TTACTATCAAGATTTATAAAAAGTTACCACCTCAAGTTTCTAAATTAAAAAAAAAAACTTGTTTATATTTAGAAAACCTATTCCAAAACCAAAATATTAAAATTATGTAGGTTTTTTCTTCAGGTGATTTTTAACCAAATTTATTAAATCATCTAATGTTGCCAGGGATGAAAAACGTTAATTATTTAAGAATGTAATGGAATTTCACTTTTATGCTCAAAACTCAACCTAACACTTTATATGGCAAGCTAGATCTTTCCGGGGATATTAAAAGTTACTGTTCCATATATATTAAAACAAGCTTGTCCATCGTGTATAACAAATTAGAATAAATTAAAAAAAAAAAAAAAGCTTGTTACTACCCCAGGGCCATAGGGTTCCAGCATCCCACCTTCACTAACTGGCACCTGTCAAGCCACGAGATCACCTTCGGGTTCACAGCACTGACTACAAGGTGGATCCTCACACATCAGGTTGAACCCTGGTAACAGAACTGCAGAATTCCCTTCTGAGACTACCCCAATCCAGATCCACCCACACTTGCCTCCTCCGGACCACGAAAACCACTTAGACGGTCCCCGCCTCTCAGGGCAGTGCCTCCAGCACTTGGGCACCTGCGCGTGCGCACTCTAGATGCAGCAGGCCACTCCCAGAAGGCGCCGGGACTGGCGGTGGGCGGGGCGCGCGGTCCTCAGTTTTTCTCGGCCGTGGACTCCATTTCCCACAGGCGGCTGCAGGCCGAGACAGCCTAGTGTGGACATTTCCCACGAGATACGGATATAACTGCGACCTCTGGCTCCGTTCCTGATACCTTTCCTCGCGCGCTGTGAGTTCGTCCCACCTGAGAAATAAGTCGGAGTGGGTGTCTGCAAAAAAGACTCTGCTGACGCAGCCGCCCCAGGCCCTGCGTGACCCGCGAGAGCCTAGTGGCGGGAGGCACTCAAGGCTCGGAGGCCCCGACCGCGCAGGGCGGGTCTGCCTGCCCACGAGGCGGTGGGTGCTGCAGCTGCGAGGAGCGGCGGATATGCTGCCCGGAAGGTGAGACGGTGCTGCTCTTGACAGGGCCGCGCGTGCCTCGGTGTCGGTGGGTGTGGTTGAGACTGGCAGTGCGTGGTTGTCCTTGTGTGGCGGGGACACAGGGTGCGTGCCCATTACCTGAGCGTGCATTGCTGAGATTGATGAGCTACCCTGTGACCTGAGGCTGCAGGTTCCCTGTCGCTTCCTGCATCCTCTAACAGCCACATTTGACTGACTGCCACAGAGAAATGTTCCCAAGTGGGATATCAGATATTGAATTCTACATAACAGCTTCCAGAAGAAGCTACAGACCTGCGGTTAGGTTGGGAATTGTAAGTCAGGAATTGCCCCAATCAGGCTCCTAGAACTAGATCGGAATAGAATTAGAAATGGGATTCCTACCGGGAGAACTCTGCAGTCTTCTGCTTGACAACTGCGACTTTCCCTGAGCTCTCATTCAAGGAACTACTGTGAACTCTGGTATAGGTTAACCCTCTTCTAACTTCACCCAGGTCTTTGTATGAGGTCAATACAGGCGTAACTAAGGAAGAAGTAACGTAATAAATACTGAGCCTTGTGGTTATTCTGGATCACTCCTCTTTAGGCTTCATTTTCTTTCTCTCTCTCTCTCTCTCTCTCTCCCTCCCTCCCTCCCTCCTCTCTCTCTCTCTTGTGGTTGGTACTGGCGATTGAATGCAGGAGCACTTAACCACTGAGCCACATCCCCAACTCTTTTTTTTTAATATTTATTTTTTAGTTTTAGGTGCATACGGTATCTTTACTTCACATTTATGTGGGGCTGAGAATGGAACCCAGTGCCTCACGAATGCTAGGCGAGCGTGCTACCACTTGAACCACATCCCCAGCTCTTTTTATTTTTATTTATTTTTTTATTTTGAGATGGAGCCTTGCTAAATTACTGAGGCTGGCTTTGAATTTGGGATCCTCTGTCTCAGCCTCTCGAGTCACTGGGATTACTGGCAAACCCCCATTGCTTCTAGCTCTCTTTTAGGTTTCTATAGTCAGAAGTAACGAAATACGAAGTTAATTATCTTGTGCCCTTGTATTGTAATAGTTTGGCTCCAAATTTGCAGAACAGACGTTCTTAACCAGTTGTCTTTTGTCTATAGGGAACCACAGCCCTTGAATTTGTATAGATAATTGCTGTAAATTTGTATTTTTCAAGAGTGTACATAACCCAGAAGATTCAAGACTGATTTTTGATATAAAATCGAAGATTGTTATATCTTGGTTTTGCACAGATTTTGTCATTGAGATTGTGAGAATAGTTAAGAAAAGCACATAGACTCCATTGGATAGAATATTTTGCAGATAATAAAATGTTCTCTTTATAAAAATTAATCATTTTTTAAAATATTTATTTATTTTTTTAGTTATCGGCAGACACAACATCTTTGTATGACACAACATCTTTGTTTGTATGTGGTGCTGAGGATCGAACCCGGGCCGCACGCATGCCAGGCGAGCGCGCTACCGCTTGAGCCACATCCCCAGCCCAAAAAAAACTAATCATTTTAAGTAAGAAAGCACAATAAGCTAATGTTAAACAGTCTTCATACATGCATGAGGGTACTCAAGGTAGCTGGACATGGGGACACATGCCTATAATCCCATATACTCAGGCTGAGGCAAGAGAATTGTTAAGTTGGAGGCCAGTTTGGACATGAGACCCTGTCTCAAAATAAAAAGTAGCTCATCAGTAAAGCTCTTGCTTAGCATAAGCAAAGCCCTGGATTCAATCCTCAGTACTAGGGGGGAAAAGGGACTCAATAAAATTTTAAATTATATATGCAGCTTAATTTTAAAAATAGAATTTTGGAAAAAATCTTTTAGAAGTATTGTACAAAATGTTATTTTAATTAACTCTTTAGAGAAGAATAGATGGGGGTGTAGCCACATTTCATTGAGTATCTTTTCTATACCCAAAACTTTTCTGCTTATTTGTCATACACATTTCTTTAGCTTACAAAGGCCATTCTCTCTCTCTACTAATTGAAGAATCTTTGTAATGAAATGTGTCTAATTATATCAGTGCTATGGAGCTAAAGGATATTCAAAAATAGTTAAGTGCCAGGTGTGGTGGCTCATGCCTGTAATCCCAGTGGCTCCAGAACCTAAGGCAGGAGGATCACCAGTTTCAAAGCCAGCCTCAGCAACTTAGCAAGGTGCTAAGCAACTCAGTGAGACCCTGTTTCTAAATAAAATACAAAAAAGTACTGGGGATATGGCTCAGGCCTCTGAGTTCAACCCCCAGGACCAAAAAAAAAAAGTGTTGTTTGGTTCAATCACATTGATTTTTCATGACAGACCTAGTATTTACAGAGATTTTTTTTAATGTCAAAAATTTAGCCTTTTCCAATAATGATATCTTTTAAAGTATTTTTTTAATATTTATTTTTTAGGTGTAGATGGACACCTTTATTTTTATGTGGTGCTGAGAATCAAACCCGGGTCCTGCCCATGCTAGGCGAGTGCTCTACCGCTAAGCCACAATCCCAGCCCTCTAATAATGATATCTATAAATTTTAATACTTTGGAATATCTTTATGTTGTATTTAGATGACGGAAATAATATAGCTTTGCCAAAAAAATCATTCCTTAAGGAATTAATGAAGAAGAAAGTAAGACTAGTCTTTTAACCTTTTTATGTTTATATTTCTTTGTGGTTCTGTTTTGACATAAAAGACCTGATCAAATAAAGGAGGCAAAGAGTTCTCTTAATTTGCAAAAGAAATCTGAATCACTCATATACCTTTGTGTATGTTGAAAGAAGCAGCCAAGGATCTCCTTGCTTGAAAAGTCTAACTTTACAACTTTAGGTATTAGAAATGTTATTTTAAACTCAATTAACATATTGACATTCTTTCAGAATTAATAATGTTTTAAAAATAACTTTCGGAAAAAATGTCACCAATATCTGCTGTCAAACTGTCTTGCAAGTACATATAATATTTTCTGAAGACTCTAAAATTTATATTCTCTTAAATCCCCATCTTGTATGGGAGCATAAGATTCTTTTTAAAAGATTCTTCATTTTACCAGATCATGTCCTACAGATTGATGATGCTGAATGAAGTTTGCTCTCCATTTTTTCTAAGTAGAACTCTCTAGCATACTTGAGAAGAAATGATAAAGTGAGTTTGGATATTGATATCCAAAAGGAAACTAAGAAAAGCCATTCAAGTCAAACAACTTAAATTTACAAAGAATTTTCTTAAAGTCTCTTCATTTTGGGAGAACATCTTAAGTTTTTAAGAATACACTACATATTTCAAGTTGACCTCTAGTCATTTTTACAATTATTATGAAAAACTTTAAAACAAAAACATTGTTTATAAATGGCTATATAACCTTCCAGACTTCTGTCTACTGATTTCAGTGGTCTGTTTTTTCTCTATTGATTGATATTTTCATATATTTCACATCAATAGTTATTATGTTGGTCAGTATGAGTTTTCTCTGGCAGTATATCTGGAATGTTTTCCACATCCTTAAAATTTTTCCCCCAACTTCACATTTTATGTCCACTTTGTATTCTAGTAAGCTTTGCCAGACTTAAAATATAGAGCACTGCCTTTTTATTTCCAATATCTTAACCAACTTCAATTGCAAAGCCACAAAAGAGGTTGTGATTTGGATGATTAGGGCTGTTTTCAGTCTTGGAAGGTAGGAATAGAAGGAAGATGATCTGCTCAGATCAATACTCTGTTGTTTAACTTCAGATCTATACATCTGCCTCACCAGACTCATTCAGTGACCAGAAAACTTATGCTAACATATGCTAAGTTCAGTGCAGAAATGTCTCTGTTCTATGATACCCTTGTGATTTAGAACTCTAATCTGCCCAAGTTGTATGTGATAGGAAATAGTTTGGAACTTGGAATGGAAGTACATAACAACAATATTAAGAAACTTACGTTTTGTTAGGAATACTAATGCAAAAGTGGACTCAAGATCTTCCTCTTCTCCCAGCTCTGGCTGTGCTTTCTGATAGAGTAAACCTGAGGACTGATCTACTCTTGCAGACTAAACCATGGCCCATGTAAGTTGATGTTTCTCTCCTTGTTGATTTATATGTGTAGGTAGTTTTCCCAAAAGTTTCCAATCAGGAAAAATTTTCTTCAAATAATCTGCTTCTAGTTCTTGTTCTTTCACAGAACTGTCATGACGAATTACCCAGCATCCTCCCTGAACTTACTTGCTAATCTTAAACTTACTAGTTAGGATATGTGACTTAGTAGTAGAGTGCTTGCTCACCATGTGGAGGCCCTGGATTCAATCCACAATACTGCAGGAAAAAATAAAAATTCAAAATAAAAAATTAAACTTCAGCTTAGTAAGCCCCTCCACAACTTAGTGAGACCCTGTCTCAAAATTAAAAAAAAATAAATAAAAGGAGCTGGGGATGTGACTCAGAGGTTAAGCAGCTTTGGGTTCAATCCTCAGTACCAAAAAATAAATAAATAAAATTAAATAATAAACTTACAAGTGATCATATAATTACTGACCAATTTTTCAACATATCTTAAGTGCCCATTTATTTATGAAGGGCAGTGATGGACTTAAGTCCTTTGAAGTAAAGATTTATACCTTCCATGTCAAAGTCTAGTTTGGTGAGGAAGACAAATGAAAGTATTGACATACATGAAAAAACTGAAATTTTCACAGACTTGAGATTGCCAAATAGTGAAGATAGAAATTTGGCATTGAATGACCAGATGGCTTTGTGGGTTCAATCCCAGTACCAAAGGAAAAAAGAGTATTCTGGTATTCTGATATTAAATGGGACATACTAACTTGGGTGTTATGTATATTCATTTTCCTTCCTCAGCATTTTTACACACAAAACACACACACACACACACACACACATATTTAATTTTTTAGGTATTTAGATGGACACAACACCTTTTTTTAAAATTTATTTATATGTGGTGCTGGGAAACCCAGTGCCTCACAAGTGCTAGGCAAGCACTCTACCACTTAGCCACAACCTATCCCCTAATATATTTTTTATCTATTACTAAATAATAAATTATCTTGAAACCTAATATAGTTTAAAGTAGCAAACATTTATTTCAGTTTCTGTGGGTCAGTTAGACATGGCTAACTTTACCTTTCTGGCTCTGGATCCACCCCACTCATCACCCGCTCTTTTTTTTTTTTTTTTTTTTTTTAAGTTGTAGGTGAGCACAATACCTTTACTTTTATTTATTTATTTATTGGTCCTGGGGATTGAACTCAAGGGCACTAGATGAGCCACATCCCCAGTCCTATTTTGTATTTTATTTTTTAATATTTATTTATTTATTTTTTTTAGTTTTTCGGCATACACATCTTTGTTTGTATGTGGTGCTGAGGATCGAACCCGGGCCGCACGCATGCCAGGCGAGCGCGCTACCTCTTGAGCCACATCCCCAGCCCCTATTTTGTATTTTATTTAGAGACAAGGTCTCATTGAGTTGCTTAGTGCTTTGCCTTTGCTGAGGCTGGCTTTGAACTCCCCATCCTCCTGCCTCAGCCTCTACGATCTATTGGATTACAGGTGTGTGCCACTGTGCCCCGCCTATTTATTTTTATGCTGTGCCAAGGATTGAATCCAGTGACCCACACATGCTAGGCAAGTGTTTAACCACTGGGCCACAACCCTAGCCCCTCTGGATCTCTTAAAAAGATGATGAAAGTGTTATTGAAGAATGTAGTAAGATTAAGACTCAACTTTGGATGGATGTTTCAAAGCTCACTTAAGTGGTTGTTGATGGTTCCTTGGCAATTTTCTTCAAAACCATGTATACATTCTGCTTCAGTCCCCTCCATATTATAGATGTGTAGCCCAAAGGCTTGTATTATTGCTTTCTTCATGCAATGCAATCTTTATCTCTTCTGTACCATCTTCACAATGTTCCTTTAATCTCTGCAATAATACACAGGTTTGCCATTTCAGGGGTCAGTGACATTCAGGGATGTGGCCATGGACTTCTCTCAGCAGGAATGGGAATGTCTGAACCCTTTCCAGAAGACCTTGTACCGGGATGTGATGATGGAGAACTATGGTAACTTAGTCTCACTGGGTATGTTTTTGGCCTTGAATAATTTAGGATAACTTAGAATCTGCTCTCTATGTGTTTTTTTAATTCTGATTTTCAAGGCAAGTTTTTAAAGAAACTGGTTACATTTCTTTTCCCTTTTCCCCAAAGAAGCAACTTGAACTTTGTTGGGTTAGAAGAAGAAATTCTATTATAAACATATTCATCTTCCCTGTCTTTCTTTCTTTCTTTCTTTTTATATTAGTTGCGCATGACAATACAATGATCTTGACATATCATACATTTGACTCATTCCCTGTCTTTCTTAAGTAGAACACCTTGTCTGGTTCTACTTAAGAGTCGACTCTTCGTTTATGAGAAGGAGCCACATTAGGATTTTGTGACATGTTATATAACAATTATTAAAGGATCCAGGTTCCCTATTTATGTTCAGAATATCTGTCTGATTCATTCACAGGGAGAATAGCTTGACAGAGGGTCCTAAATTGCTCTAATTACTAAAAGAACCTCTACAATTTGTTGAATTAAATAAGTAGAATTCATTTAAAAATGAAGCAAACACATTTCATTTATTTAGGCAAATTTTATCTGATTTGTAGTTAAAAATTGTAATCTGTAAGTATGTTTACAGAGGCAGTGCTCTTAAGCACTTTATAATACAGATACCTATATATACATTTCCCTTATTAAATTCAACCTTATTATTATTCCCATTTCCAAATGAAAATACTGCAACACATTTTGCATAAGTGATTAGCCCAAGTTCACACACAGCTAGAAGGTGGAAAGACAGAAATTGTTAATAGGCTTCAGAATTTATATTTTCTTTCTGTATTTATTTATTTTTAGTGCTGGGGATTGAACATAGGGGCACTTTACCACTGAGCTACATCCTCAACTCTTTTCATATTTTATTTTGAGACCAGTTCTCATTAAGTTACTTGGGGCCTCACACTAAATTGTTGTGACTGTTCTCAAACTTGCAATCTTAGCCTGTCTTAGACTCCCAAGTCACTGGGATTACTGGCATGTGTTACAGCACCCAGTAGAGTCTGTATTTTCTTTAATATTTATTTTTTCATTGTAGTTGGACACAATACTTTTATTTTATTTATTTATTTTTTATGTGGTGCTGAGGATAGAACCCAGGGCCTCACATGTGCTAGGCAAGTGCTCTACCACTGAGCCACAACCCCAGCCCCACAGTATTTTCAACCATGGTATTATATACGCTATCAAGAAAAAGAGGATACAGCCAGGTACAGTGGCATATGCCTGTAATCACAGCAATTTAGGAGGCTGAGGCAGGAGGATCAGAAGTTCAAATCCAGACTCAATAACTTAGTGAGGCCCTAAGCAACTCAGTGAGACCCTGTCTCTAATAAAATATAAAAAAGAGCTGGGGATGTGGTTTGGTGGTTAAGCACCCCTGGGTTCAATCCCTGGTACCCCGCTACCCCCCCCCAAAAAAAAGAAAAAGAGGATACAAATGTGTATATTATGGTTTTTGTTTGTTTGTTTCCCAGTATTGGGGATTGGACTCAAGGGTATGTTACACTGAACTACATCCCAGCCCTTTTTGTTTTAATTTTGAGACAGTCTCACTAAGTTACTGAGGCTGGCCTCAAACCTTGTAATCTTTCTTTTCTTTTTTTTTTTTTTAAAGTTTTCATGAGGGATAAAGACCACATTTATTTATTTATTTTTAAGAGAGAGAGAAAGAGAATTTTAATATTTATTTAGTTAGTTAGTTTTCGGCGGGCACAACATCATTGTTTGTATGTGGTGCTGAGGATCGAACCCGGGCCACACGCATGCCAGGCAAGCGCGCTACCACTTGAGCCACATCCCCAGCCCTAAACCTTGTAATCTTTCTACCTTAGCCTCCCAAGTATCTGGGCTTACAGGCATGTATCATTGTACCCAGTTTAATGTTTTATTCTTTAATTTCCTTACTTTCTCTTCTTAAAAATCTCATTCAATATCTTTTTTGGGGGTGGGTTCTGAAGATTAAATCCAGGGGTACTTTACCACTGAGCCACACCCCTAATTCTCAATAAGTTACTGAGACTGGCTTTGAACTTAGAATCCTCCTAAGTCACTGGGATTACAGATGTGTACTACAATGCCTGGCTTCAATATTTTTTTGACCTTTAATTTACTTTAGTACAATTTTGGGTTTGTTTAGTTTTGTTGTGGTACTAGGGATTGAGCCCAGATGCACTCTATCACAGACATACATCCCTAACCCTTTTTCTTTATTTTGAGACATGGACTCACTAACTTCCTTAGTCTGGCTTCAAATTTCCTATCTCACCCTTCTGAGTTGCTGGGATTATAGGCATGTACCACCATGCCTGGCAATAATGTATTTTTTTTTGTATCATGTTGCATTGCACTTTTTTTTCTTTTTAAACAGGCCATTCCATTTCTAAGCCAGATGTTATTACATTATTGGAGCAAGGAAAAGAGCCCTGGATGATTATAAAGAAAGAAACAAGAAAATGGCGTAAAGGTAAATAAATAAGAGTAAATCTGGCTATGGAAAGCCATCTACAAGCAGTAGCCCAAGTAGTCAAGGAAGAGTCACACTTGAAATGTTGGTTAGAAATATTCATTCATAGTAAAGAAGAGGCTTCTGATGTAGAGAAGAGATAAATACTCTGCATGAGCTACAATGAGCTCCATCTTCACCTTAATTAACCACACAATTTTTTAGGCTCATATTTCCCTCCCCATTCATTAATTCTTTCCTAATGCCCTTTCACTTGTATTTTGGACCCAACTGATTTCCAAACCTGTATTCACTTAGATTTATATATGTGGCTTTATTGCCTAAAAGTGTATTCATTCCTGTATTTGGCAAAGAAATTAATGGAGTTAATATATTAGGGAAGACATATAATAACACTATAAAAAATAGATAAGTAGTATCAAGTAGTGAAATATACTATGAAGGAAACTAACCAAGAATAGGCAGCCAGGTGTGGTGGCACATGCTTGTAATCCCAGTGGCTCTGGGGGCTGAGGCAAGAGGATTGCAAGTTCAAATTCAGTTTCAGCAATTTATCAAGGCCCTAAAAAAAGTAACTTAGCAGACCCTGTCTCTAAATAAAATATTAAAAAGGGCTAAGGTTGTGGCTCAGTGGTTAAGCACCCCTGGCTTCAATTCCTGGTACAAAAAAAATTAATAGGATAAATTTAGGTAAGGTAAGATGATCAAGAACTGTTGATAAGGACTTGGGTTGTGGCTTAGCAATAGAATCCAGGCCTAGCAAATTTGAGGCGCAGGGTTTGATCCTCAGCACCACATAAAAATAAATAAATAAAATAAAGGTATTGTGTCCAACTACAACTAAAATACACACACACACACACACACACACACACTAAAAAAAAGAACTGTTGATCATCTCAAAAAGGTAAAGTGTAAGAACTTAGGCCACAAACCCTCTATGAGACTTTGGTAACCAAAACCAGACAAAGACACTACAAGAAACCTATAGACCAATATCACTTATGAATATTGATACAAAGGTCTTCAGCAAAAATACTAGTGAACTGAAGTCAACAGCACTTAATAAGATTATACTCCATGACCAAGTGGGTCTTAATTCTTGAACGCAAGGATAGTGATTGTATGAAATCAATGTTATACATCACATTAACAGGATAAAGGGAAAAATTGTCTTAATTCTTAAGGTACAGGAAAACAATTTAACAAAATTTAGTACACTTTCCTGATTAAAAAACTCAACAAACTAGGAATCTACCTCAATGTAATAAAATCTAACAGTTTGAACATGTTTTTTCCCCTCCAAAACTCGTATTGAAATATGGTTGTTATTGTGGCAGTATTGGGAGGTGAGACCTTTTAGAGTTAATTCTGTTAAGAGGGATTAATGCTTTTCTGAAGGAATGAATTAGATAACTGGAGAGCAGGTTGTTGTAAGGCTACCCTTTGTGTTTTATTTCTTCTACACAGTCCAACTTGTTTTTTTACTTTTCTGCCATGTTATTATATAGCAGGAAGCCTTCACCACACATAGTTATCCAATTTTGGTCTTCCAGCCTCCAGAACCATTTGCCAAAATAAATTCCTATTCTTCATGTATTGCCCAGTTTCCAGTATTTTATACCAACAGAAAATAGGCTAAGACAATGTCACATATGAAAAGCCCATAGTTTACATCATACTCCATGGTGAAAGACTGAAAACACTGCTTTTCCTGCATCCATAAATTTTGGTATGTTCTATTTTCATATTCATTTGCCTTAAAATAATTTCTAATTTCCCATGTGATTTTTTGACCAATTCTTGTCTGAAGCATTGGTTGTTTTGCCCTTCTGTTGTTTTTTTTCTAGTTTTGTTCCACTGTCATTAGAAAAGATTCTTTTTTTAAAAATTTTTAGTTGTAGATGGACATAATACCTTTATTTTTTAAAACTTGCTTTTATTTAAATTTATTTTTTCAATTTTTTAATTTGTTCTGATTAGTTATACATGACAATAGAATGCATTTTGACACATCATACATAAATGGAGTTTAACTTCTCATTCTTCTGGTTGTACATGATATAGGATTACACAACCAGTGTAATCCTAATTACCTTTATTTTTTTATTTTTATGTGGTGCTGAGGATCAAAGCCAGTGCCTCACAATGCAAGACAAGCTCTCTACCACTAAGCTACAACCCCAGCCTTTTTTTGAGATAGGGTCTCACTAAGATGCCAAGGCTGGCCTTGAACTTGGGATCCTCTTGCCTCAGCCTTCTGAGTAGCTGGGATCATAGGTATACACCACCATGTTCAGCTGTGGCCTCTACAGTTTCTAATGAGCAAACTCTGATGTTAGAATCATTGTTCCTCTGAATATAAGAAGACATTTTTTTCTGCTTTCAAGACTTTTTTATCTGTATTTTCCAGTAGTTTATTTGTCTAGGCAGGTTTTCCTTTCGCCTGTTGTAATTCGCATTCACGAGCTTTTTTAAAAATACTTTTTTATTTGTCAATGGATCTTTATTTTATTTATTTTTATGTGGTGCTGATAATCAAAGCCAGGGCCTCACACATACTAGGCAAATACTATTCCACTGAGTTACAACCCCAGCCTACTGTGGTTGTAAACTTTTATCAAGTTTAGTGTGTTATCAGCATCATTTCCCCAGATATTTTACCTAACTCAGTTTTTTAAATATTATTTTTGTTGTAGATGGACACAATACTTTATTTTTTAAAATATTTTTAGATGTTGATGAACCTTTATTTTATTCATTTATTTATATGTGGTGGTGAGAATCGAACCCAGTGCCTCACACATGCTAGGCAAGCACTTTGCCACCGAGCCACACAACCCCAGCCCTACTTTGTTTATTTTTATGTGGTGCTGAGGATCAAACCCAGTGCCTCACACATGCTAGACATGCACTCTATCACTGAGCCATAACCGCAGCCCCAGTCTCTTTTTCCTTTTTATATTCTATTCATCTTTTCTTTATTCTCACATCTTTGAAATTTGTTTGTCATTTAGTGGTTTTAAATTTTTGTTGTTTTTTGTTTTGTTTTCAGAACTGAGGATGAACCCAGTGGTATACCCAGATCTTTAAAAATTTTGTTTTAAATTTTGAGTCAGTGTCTTGTAAGGTTTCCCAGGCTGCACTCAAACTTTCAATTCTCCTGCCTCAGCCTCCCAAATAGCTGAGATTACAGGCATATGCCATGGTGCCCAGCTAAGCTATTCCTTCTAGATTATTATCCTCCAAGGTAAATGTTTCAATTCCTTTTCATATATTTCCTATCACTCTTCCTCTAGATTCCTGTTTAGATCACTTTCTGTTTTTTGTTTTTTTTCCTCTCTGAAGTACCCAAGAAGCTCAGAATTCCTTAAGATTTTCATTAGGGTATAAACCTAGTATTTACCTGAAAATTCATTGACAGACTCATCTGGGAATTACCAGAACAATCAACCCTGATTAAAAGGGAAAGTGAGAGAATACCTGAGAAAAAATATGAAGGCATAAAATAGATGAAACACTTGTAGAATGAACAATAAGAAAATCTCAGCAAAGATAATAAAAACTTAGTGCTTCATTTGATATGGAAAACCACAAAAAGTTTACATGGCTGTGCATAGGAAGGAATCATAATATTATTTTTAAGGAGAGATATAATTGGTGAAAAATCAATAAGTAGTTGCTTTTAATATGTTTACATTGTATATGGGAATGATATAGAAGGAATACATTTAATCTCTGTAATAAAATGTGATAAGTGAATGTTATGGAGACATTATCAGTAATAACTGCAAGTTAAAGAGCTGATTTTAGAGTTCTTTCAAGTATTCATCTCTAATTGGTAGCATTTAAAAATCTTTAAGAATCTATAGAACATTTATTTTTTGGCATCCAGGAAGACAAAAGATTTTTATTTCTTTTAGATTTGGAGTCAAGATATGAAAAAATCAGCTCTGAGAAAGTACACCTCTATAGAAAATATTCATCTCTTACTCTACATCAAAGAATTCACAATAGTGAGAAATCCAAGGAATGTGACAAATGTGGGAAGGCCTTCACTCGTCATACAGACCTTATAGTACATCAGAGAATTCATACTGGTGAGAAGCCCTATGAGTGTAAGGAATGTGGAAAGGCCTTCAATCGTGCATCTAACCTGTTACAACATCAGAAAATTCATACTGGTGAAAAACCCTATAAATGTGAGGAATGCGGGATGACCTTTAGTCGTAATATAGACCTTAAAGTTCATCAGAGAATACATACAGGTGAGAAACCCTATCAATGTGAAGAGTGTGGGAAGACCTTTGGTCGTGCTTCCTACCTGACTCAACATGGAAAAATTCACACTGGTGAGAAATCCTATGTGTGTCATGAATGTGGAAAGGCCTTTAGTAAAGGTGGAAAACTTAAAATTCATCAGAGAATTCATACTGGTGAGAAGCCCTATGAATGTAAGGCATGTGGGAAGACCTTTAGTCAAGCTTCTCACCTTGTGCAACATGACAGAATTCATACTGGTGAAAAACCCTATGAATGTCGTGAATGTGGGATGACCTTTAGTCGAAGTATAGATCTTAGAGTACATCACAGAATTCACACTGGTGAGAAACCCTGTAAATGTAAAGAATGTGGGAAGGCCTTTAGTTGTGCCTCAAATCTTGTTCAACACGAGACAATTCATACAGGCAAGAAGCCCTATGAATGTGAAAAATGTGGGATGACATTTAGTCGTATCTATCAACTCATTCCACATCAGAGAATGCACACTGGTGTGAAACCCTATGAATGTAATGAATGTGGGAAGGCCTTCACTCGTGCCTCAGCACTTATTCAACATGAGAGAATGCATACTGGTGAGAAACCCTATAAATGTCAAGAATGTGGGAAGGCCTTTATTCATGGTGGTAGCCTTAGGACACATCAAAAAATTCATACTGGTGAAAAACCCTACGTCTGTAAAGAATGTGGGAAGGCCTTTGGTCGTACCTCAGACCTTGTTAGACATGAGAGAATTCATACTGGTGAGAAACCATATAAATGTAAGGACTGTTGTAAGGCCTTTAGTCATATTGAAAGCCTTAGAATGCATCATAAACTTCATACTGGTGAGAAACCCTATGAATGTAAAGAGTGTGGAAAAGCTTTTAAGAGTGGCCATCAACTTACTGTACATCAGAGAATTCATACTGGTGAAAAACCCTATGAATGTAAGGAATGTGGGAAGGCCTTTACTGTCTGTGGACGACTTACTCGACATCAGAGTATTCACAGTGATAAGAAGCCTTTTGAATGTAATAAATGTGGGAAATCCTTTAGATTTAGGTCAAGTCTTAAAGTACATCAAAGAATTCATAACTAGAAAAAAACTTTATGGATGAAAGTTCTATAGAAATGCACATATATGCAGTGGGCAGTGTGTAGTGTATCAGTGTATTCATAACAAACAATTTGAAAAGAATGTGGCACAGGCCTGTAATCCCAGGAGCTTGGGAGGCTGAGGCAGGAGGATCATGAGTTCAAGGTCAGCCTCAGCAACTCAGTAAGATCCTGTCTCTAAATAAAAGGTAAAAAGGGCTGGGGATGTGGCTCATTGGTTAAGCACCCCTGGGCTCAATCAAAAAAAAAAAAGAGAGAAAAGAAGAGAATGTGGGAATGCTTTTAAATATGGTTTTTCTAAGGCATTAAATGGTTTATGGTGTGAAACCCTTCAGAATATAAATAATATTTCAAATTTTTAAGCAATGATCCAAACATTGTTCCTATTCAGAGAATTTCTAATTTATTTTTACGTAGTGTAAGAAAATCTTTATGTTTCTCTGTACATAAATTGTTAGTATAGTCAGTCACCTTAGAGGAAAATTCAGAGAATGTAGGAAATGTGTTTGTTTTTTATGCTTTATTTATAAAAGTCTTCCACCTGTATCAGTTATTAACTCAAGAAAGCTCACATCACAGGAAGCACCTGTTGATCTAACAAAGGTAGAAAAACTTGTGGTTTCCATTCTATTATTTACAGCCTGTATGACATTGGTCACAACGTTTGGCCTTCTGGGAGTCCTGTGCAAAGAACAATAATAAATATATTATAGTGCCATTATTGGAAATGAGAAAAGTTGGAAAGCTTTTTCACATTGTCTCTGTTCAGTAAGTAATAGATACTATTTTATACTATTTATATTACTATGGATGAATTATTATGAGAATAAAGTCCATATACTGATAATAATTTTATAAAAGCTTCATGTAATTTCTTATACTCTGTTATAGTTTAAAATAATCCTTTCTGGTTAAAATATAGTAGAATTTTTTAAAAGAGGATTTAAAACATGAGTTTCATTGGAGTTCTGCTAAAATATATTTCTTTATATAGTGTCTGGTTACTTTTGCATTACTCTAGCAGAGTTGGATAGTTACAACAGAGAATTCTATTATCCGGATTCTAAAATATTTTTTTAAGTTGCTAACTCCTGTTTCAGAGCAACTTCCCTATAATTTTTTATGACTTTGGATTTTTGAAGGGTATAGAATACTTTGTAGATTTTTAAAATTGTTTTTCTTGGGAAGCATTTATCTTTGTTTTTGTGGTGTTGGGAATCAAACCCAGGACCTCACACATGCTTGGCAAGTACTCTACTACTAAGCTAAGCCCCCAGCCCATTTATCTTGTTCTTCTATCTCTATTAGTTCCAGTAAATCTGAGTTAAACAAAAGGATTCATGTAGTTGATGTGTATAAATTAAAAATATATAATGTTGAGTTTTCCCAGTATAGGTTCAGCATCTCAAATCCAGAAATGCAAAATTTGGGGCTTGGGTTGTAGCTCAGTGGAAAAGTGCTTGTCTGGCACATGTAAGGCACTGGGTTCAATCTTCAACACCACATAAAATAAATAAATAAATAAATGGTACTGTGTCCAACTAAAAAAAAATTTTTTTTAAATATCCAAAATTTTCTATACCTAGTGGCACACAGAGAACCTTGGGAGGCTGAGGCAAGAGGATAACAAGTTTAAAGCCAGCCTCAACAACTTGGCAAGGCCCCAATTAACTTAAAGAGACTCTGTCTCTAAATAAAAAATGGGCTGGGGATGTGGCTCAGTGGTTGAATGCCTCTGGGTTTAAAACTGGTGCTCCTTTTCTCCCCCCAAAAATACCCAAAATTTGAAATGCTTCAAAATCGGAAACTTTTTGAGCACCAACATAATGATACCAGTAGAAAATTTCATACCTGACTTCATGTGACAGGTCAAAATATGGGCATTTAAAATAAAGTCATGATGGGGCTGGGGTTGTGGCTCAGTGGTAGATCACTTGCCTAGCATGTGTGAGGCACTGGGTTCGATTCTCAGCACCACATATAAATAAACAAATAAATAGGGGCTGGGGTTGTGGCTCAGTGGTAGAGCACTCGCCTAGCATGTGCAAGGCCCTGGGTTTGATCCTCAGCACCACTTAAAAATAAATAAATAAAGGTATTGTGTCCAACTACAACTAAAAAATAAATACTTTAAAAAAAACAAAGGTCCATCAACAACTAAAAAAATATATTGAAAAAATAAAATAAAGCCATGTATAACTTAAAGGCAGGGATACGTTCTAAGATATGCACCATTAGGCAATTTAGATGTTGTGCAAACATCATAGTGTAGTTACACAAATTAAGGCAGCTATGACATCAGTAGGCAATACTGTCTTATAGGACCATTGTCATATTGTGTCTCATGACTATATTATACAAAATAATCTTTAGGCTATGTATATGGAAAAATGAATTTAGTGGTTAGACTTGGATCCCATCCTCAAGATATCTCACTTATGCATATGCCAGTATTCTAAAATTTTTTAAAAATCCTAAATCTGAAACACTTCTAGTCCCAACCACTTAGAATAAAGGATACTCAACCTGTATTAATGATGCTAGATATTATCACTTGATTACAGAAGTGACTACTTGATTATAAAGATCCATTTTATATTATTAATCATCATGGTGATATTTTGTCACCTCTCTGAAAATTATAAACTCATGTAAAAGTCCTAAAATGATTAAAAAATTAATATAGAAATGAGGGCCTATTCCAAAATGCCCATATATCAGAACTTTGGAATGTTGATAGTCCTCTACTCATTGGAAATTCATCTTTTAAAATTTTACAGGTGCCTGGCTAGCTCATTTGGTAGAGCATGAGACTCTTTAAAAGTTTTGTTTATTTTCCTTGAAACCAATGAATATGTCTAGAAGTTTAGGGATTTTGAAATAAAGTAGTAATTTAACCCATGATTTTTAATTTTTTTGCTAAAATATATTAATATCAAGTAGATATTGGCAAATCTGGCCCAGGAAAAAAATAAAAATGATTATATCATGGCATCATTATTTAAGAAAGAGGACATGTTTATAAATAATAGGAGATAAAAATTTCATTATAAGGTATAAGTTTATTTCAGTATATTTAAAAATCTAAAGAGTAAATTATCCTCTTAGGAAAAAAATGTGGTTTATCAAAATTGACTTAAAATGATACTGGGGGGCTGGGTTTGTTGCTCAGTAGCATAGTGCTTGCCTAGAACATGTGAGGCACTGGGTTTGATCATCAGCACCACATGAAAAAAAAATAAAGGTTAAAAAAAAAGATGATATTGGGCATTTTTGAAATTTAGGGTTTTTTTTTTAATCAAAGAGGAAAAAATACTCTATTTATTTTGTGAGGGGTGTACTGGGGTACTCAACCACCGAACTACACCCCCAGCCCTATTTTGTATTTTATTTAGAGCCAAGTCTCACTGAGTTGCTTAGCACCTTGCTTTTTCTGAGTCTGGCTTTGAACTTGCTATCCTCCTGCCTCAGCCTCCTGAGCCATTGGGATTACAGGCATGCACCATTGCACCAGGCAAACTCCCCTTTTAAAGTGCAGCTCTTATATTATGTACACCCTCAGGTAAGACCTAAAGCAGGAAAATTATTTCTAACAAAATTATCCCAGCTAATTGTTACATGGATCACATATGTATAACATCTCTATGAAAATAATTCCTAGAAATCAAAAGCTAAATATGGTGTTATGAAATTGAGCATACAAAATTTAAATGTATTATATATGAACTGAACCAGGATCTACCAGAAGAATACGAAATTGAAAAACATTTATGTAGACTATCCAGGACTTAAGTTTTTTGATTGTTATAAGTCTTGATACATGATAAAATCATTGATCCAACTCAAATAAGAAGCCAGCAATCCAGGAGGATTACAAATTCAAGGCCAGCCTCAATTTAGCAAGGTCCTAAACAACTTAGTGAGACCCTGTCTCAAAATTTAAAAAAGCTAGGGATGTGGCTCAGTGGTTAAGTGCCCGTGGTTCAATCCCTGGTCCAAAAAAGAAAGCAGCAGCAACAGCCAGCAATCTATTCTGTGGTCCAACCACCTGTTTTGTTGAAAGAAAAAATTATTGGAATACTGCTGTATTCATTAACATATTGTCTGTGAGTACTTTCTCACTTCAATAACAGAGTTGATTGTTTTAAACTAATAACATTTAGACCACAGGTCAGGAATTTTTTTCATTTCTTAAAGGACCAATAGTAAAGATCTAAAATCTAAAATTGCCAAAAAGTAGGGGCTGGGGATTGTGGCTAAAGCGGTAGCGTGCTTGCCTGGCATGTGCACGGTGCTGGGTTCGATTCTCAGCACCACATACAAATAAAATAAAGATGTTGTGTCCACCGATAAACTAAAAAATAAATTTAAAAAATTCTCTTCCTCTCTCTCAAAATAAATAAATAAAATAAAATAGCCAAAAAGTAAGTAATTTGGGCTTCTGAACCATGACTACATGGATGTTTAGGATTTGGATCCTAAACAAGATTTTTTTTTTTTTAGATTTAAAAAAATCTTTATTCTTAATATTTAATCTGTGATATAATCTCTTGCATCTTTGACACACAATGAAAGGAAGGGCTTTTGGGGCTATTTGGTGTCTGCCTGTCCACTGTCAAATCAACTCGCATTAGAGTCTGGCACATGAGTAGTATGCAGTGAATATATAGACATGCACACACGTATATTTCAGTTGAATATACATATGTATTTATACATTTCACACATATTGCTTGTGTTCAGATCATAGCTTTAGTGTGCAGTTTATTTCTAATGTCCAAATTTCAGGAACTGTTCTTCTCTCTACTTAGATATTTTGGTGTTTCCCTTCCCTTATAGGTAGAAAAGTTGTTAGAGATAAAACGGCACTGGGGTTGTAGCTCAGCGGTAGAGCACTTGCCTAGCACATGTGAGGCCCTGGGATCGATCCTCAGCACCACATAAAATAAATAAAATAAAGGTATTATATCCAACTTCAACTGAAAAATAAATATTAATAAATGTTCCTTGGAGAGTCATTTCTTGTGAGTCACCGTGAAAAGGCATTTCTGTGAAATTAGAGGATGTGACATTCAAGGGCAGCCTTGGGGAATGATGCTCAGAGGTTCCTGGTGCATCACCAGAGCCAGGTTGCACAGGTCTATTCCTTCTGTAAGCTGTTGCATTATACCTAGAAGGGCTTGATTCAGAGAATATACTATCTTTTCTCTGTTTCAGTACACTTTTGGAAGGAGGATAGTGAATAGTGCTATCCCACACTTACAGGAGTTTAGTTTTGCTTTCATTTTTCAAATCCTAATTTATATAATTATAGAAGTCTTTCTTAGAAGGACCTTGGAATCTTGGAGACCAACCACCATGGGATGTCCTAAACAAGATTTTTTAATTTAATTATTGGTTTGTGTGTGGTTGTGTGTATTACCCTCATTGCCAATTTAAATTTCAATATAAGTTTTCAGTCTTAACAAGTATTTTTATTATTTCTATTCATGATTTTATTATACATTTTAGTTTTCTAAATAGTCAATCTGCAACATTTGTATTGATTATTTCTTTAATTTTATTGAAATAGGTTTAGCTATATTTTGCATTGGTAATGATACCAGGCTTTCAGTATTTTCCTCTTAGTGGAAATTACATCAACATTTCACATTAGTCTTTACTAAGCATTTAACAATCAGCATTTCTCAAAATACTTTCTCTAATTAAACAAACAATAAACCAAATATTAAATATTTAACAAATTAAACGTCCTTTATTTACTGACCAATTGCAAACCTAACTCTCAGAACATCCATTGAAAATCAGAAACATTATAAATATTTAGTGCTGTTACCATCCTGT